CTCGAAATATGAGCATCGGCGAACATCGGCATTGTTGCGTTACATTCGAAATAAAAGGATTTGTATGGGAAAAGAAACTTATCGTTTCTGTAACCCACGAAAATGAAAGGATTTCAATAAGAACAGCTTACCTTACTTAAAATATGTGTTACGTCTCTCCTGAGAGAGAAAACCGTTTTCATAAAAGCCCATAAATCGGCCCGTGGACTACACAGGAGAGACGTAACACACATTTTGAGTAAGGTAAGCTGTTTTTTTTTATTGAAATCCTTTCATGTTCGAAGGTTACAAAAACGATAGGTTTTTTTTACCCATACAAGCCTTATGTTTTAAATGCTACGTAACAATGCCGTTGCTCGCCAATGCCCGATGCTATTTCGAGCTTGGGCTAGCTGTGGTCAGTCATGCACCAGAGTGAGTAACCTCCTGACAGCTAGGAAACCATTTCCTTGCTCGCAGAGGTCTTTCACGACGAGGCAAAAATGACAGACATTTGCATCGTCGTAAGAGACCTCTGCTAGCAGGGAAGGAAGCCATAAGGAGTAACTATAAAAAATGCCTTATTCACACATAGTTGGTTTCAGACAAAAATATCATCATAAACCAACAAATCTGTTAAAAGGTAACGACAACAGTTCACTCTTATGGAAGACGGTTCGAATCATTCACCAGGTTGGTGTCATATGAGTAAAGACGTCCAACATTGAAGAGCTGTTATCAATTCAAAAACATTAAAAATCATTCGCATTGCGTCAGATAAACTAATGAGATATCTTTCTAAACTTACTCCACACACAGACAAACACTGTGACTAACACCACTTCCTAAACATGCATCGTGGACAAACACGTGGAACACATCACTCATACTTACTACATATCCTCTAAACTAAGACATAACATCAAAAGGACACGATACTATTAAACTCTGAAAACAAAGATACTACGATAAGGAGTAAAACACACACAAAAAACTTATAAACATTAAAACATTTCAGCACATCGATAGAACACAAACAACAGACGCCATATTAGACAATGAGGGAATATTGGTAACTAGCCACCAAGTCTCCCTCGGTCCGTTACGTGCTTTTTTTGCGCCTGGTTGTTTCCTACCTGAGTTGACTGATTTGGTGTTCTTTAATATTATATTTATTACCTCAATGCAAGTGGAGAGAGTGTTTTACTTTCGAGACGAGTCGACAAAAACGGAGATAAATGTGCGAATACCTGAGGTATGCTTCTACTTTCTTTAGGAATGTCAGTCTCGCCAAGTCGCTTGAAAGTTACCAGCCTATACACACAGCAGACACAGATTGTTTCCATTCATTTTTCTTTTCGAAAGAGAAAATAGAGGATCTGTGAACAAGCTATAAGATTACTGAAAATATTAAACTTTGGCGAATCTTGAATGATGAAGGCGGACCTCAGAATTTTTTTAACTTATGCTTGGTCTCCTTTTCTATATCTTGTTTAAGATTGTAGATCCTCAGTATGGAATGTTCACTTGGCCTTCAGCTCCAGTTCTTGCACAGTTCATTTGGCACAGTAGAGATCAAGTAAAACAAAAACAAGTTATTGAGGTAATATATTACTTTTACTTTTCTTTCTGAACGTACAAAAAAAGTATAATAATAATAATTATTATTATTGTTAAACTGACTTGTGGACCAAGTCTTTCTTTAAATGTACAGGCTTATTTTTATAAAACATAATGTCTCACTATTTTCATGTTTTTCTATGTAAATGTTTATTAAAACTTGTACTCTAACAGCTTCAATTTTGGGAACTCTTGAGCTGGACAGTACTTGAGGTTGGTCACTTTTAGGCCACGTTTAAGCTATCTAATGAAACTCCTACTCTATTAACCATGGCAGGACTAGTAGAGTCTTTGACTGCAGGGTGGGAGGTCAAGGGTTCAATTTTGTGACCGGGAAAATAATCAGGGTCTTAAAAGAACTGAGAAATGAAGGTACTGCCTTTGCCTTGCAAATGGCTATACCTTTGCATGGCTTGGGTGACCACATAAAGTGATGGTCTCATTTCAAAAAGGAGACATAAACATAACGTCCTTAATAAGTACTTTTGTGCTTATCATATTGACACTCCAATAAAGTGCCTCTTATTTTTTGTCTGGTAGATTGGTGCAGGAACTTCACTTCCTGGAATTGTAGCTTCACTGTGTGGTGCAAAGGTCACTCTTACTGATAAGGAAGAATACTCAGAATGCTTGAGAAATTGTCATCACAGTTGCCATGTGAATGGTCAAGATTCAATTAAAGTTGTTGGAATAACTTGGGGGCAGTTTTCACCAAAACTATTCAGACTTCCAGTAGCTGATATAATTCTTGGCTCTGATTGCTTCTATGACACCAAAGGTGATTATGGTATTAAGATAACGTATTTTCTTGAGTAAGTGCCCACGCTTTAATAATCAACCTCTCCGGAATAAGCACCCATCTCCCCTACCCCTCACATTGTTTTAACAAGTGAAAGGCATTAATATTGACTTTGGTTTATGTGGATAATATTATAGTATTTGTTTTTTAATTAAAGATTTAGAAAAAATAAAGTTACTGTTTGTTTTTTAAAAAAAAAAAGTGCTCCCTCAATTAAGTGCCCTCCTTCCATAATATTATAAGTGCCCGTCCTTTAAGCCAAAATTTTAAATACACGCCTGGGCATTTTTTTAAGGAAATGCAGTATGTAAAAATGTTCTTAAAACGTAAATTTGAGACTTTACAAGACTGTGAGACCCCAGTTTCAAAATTCAAGACCAAGACTCAAAAAAATTCAAGTCTTCAAGACACAAAATCACTTGAAAATGAGATTTCGAAACTGATCACAATAGTTGCTTTTCAGATTTTGATATTGGGCCAAAATTTTCCAAGACCCACGTTTCTTGAGGAATCATTCTTTTAGAGGAGTGGTGGGTTCGGGCTGTATACAATACTGAAATTAGTTTGCACCAGGCACTTCCCTTGATCTTGACTTTTCATGTATTTTAGTGTGTGTCAGTGTGTCTATATTCTCTGCTTAGTTTCCACTATCATCATGTCAGCAGCTGTTTTTAAAACAAAATGTAGCTGGGGGCAAAAAAGTACACTCGTGTTTATCCTCTTGTTATTTACAAAATACAGATTTTGATGACATTCTGGCCACAGTGTCCTTTTTGATGGAGAAAAATGTACAAGCAAAGTTTTGGACAACTTACCAAGAAAGAAGGTACTTGAACAGCTATTAATCCTGTTTTTGATTATGAAATAATGTGGGAAATGAATTTGACAAATCTGAGAAAAGACTTACAAGATTGGCTCAGGGGAGGACCTCATGATTATGGTTCCAGCATTTCTCACTAGTTCTCTTAAACACTGTTTATACATTTCTATTAAGCACTAATGATGAGAATTTGCATTACTTTTGTAAACTTTATGTTTTATTAAAGTGCACATGACATGAATTTGTTAAAACTGATTTTTGTCCTTAGATAAGTTTAATTAACAATTTGTAACTTTAAAAATGTGTCTCCCGAATCATTTCTTGAATTTTGGCGATCAAAAAACTGCTTTTTTCCCTTCGGAAAAGTCCCAGAGACTGGGGATGAGTATAGGGTTAAACAAAGGCTAATGACATCATGTGATATCAGCTGATTTGCTCAGCTTTCCCTTCCGATTCTGGTTATTGCTATGAGTTGTGTGGGATTAAGCGTAATGTATCTGACTGTACAAAGGTGTGGCCAAAGTAAATGAAGATTCTGAAGATGATTGTGGAGTTGTCAGCAATAAAAATCCTTCGTATTTGCTGCAATCTTATAAATCATTCGACTTTCTTGCACATCATACTACGTTATACTTGTCAATTTGGTCATGCAATAGGGCAGATATCTCGGGAGACAAATTTGCGTGTTTTGATGAAGAGAAAAAAAGGTTTGGCAAGTTTTTTGGCGAGTTAAAATTTCGGATACATATTTTACACATATCTAGGAATTAAAAACAATCATGACAAAAAATTCTTGTCATATACACTTTAAGCATTGATGTCATAGAAATAGGCTATTTGCACGATGGTGCCCTGTTGCTACTACTACCAGAATCCTTCAGGGTTTTGCTTTCTTGTGCAAATTAGAGCTTTTGTTATTTAAATCTCACTGGGATTACCAAATTTAACCATGAACGAAAAAATGAAATGAATTCTGGTCAGAGTAGTAGTAAGTTGGGCTTAAAGTGTTGATCTCTTGTTTATATATTCCAGCTCTAGCCGCACCATTGAAGATTTGCTGAATAAATGGGGACTTCAAGGTGCTGAGATCCCTCTGAAGGATTTTGATGCTGATCAAGGCAATGTTGGTGGTTCCAGTTTATCTGATATACACACCATACATATGCTGGAAATAACAAGCAAAGGGGTTGAGTGAAAAATACCAGGAACACCTAGATGATCCATTGCACTGAATGAGCCATGAAAATGGCTTGTTACTGTTGAACCTTTCTTGCCAGTTATGTCCCTATTAAGGTGTAACATCTGCAGTTTAGATTGTTCTATGTTTTTGCTGGCCAGACATAGGATTGCACCCTCAGTGCAAGATCCTGCAAACCTTTTTCTTTCCTTGTATATGATGTTTACATGCTTTGTGGGAGAAGTTCAGTTTGCCAGTGCTTGGTGCCTTGCAAGCTGCAATCTTGAGGAAAAAATGACCCTTTTTGCAGTCTAGACAGGTATAGATTTTATTATTTTTATAAACATGACTCCAGAACATATAAAAGAATGTTTCCTTCAATAACAGTTCTGTTAAAGTAATAGGTATGTGAAATAAGTTAAATGTACAGCAATGTCAGATAACTGTTAATATTAGATAAAACTCTGATTATGCAACATAACTTGTAAAATAAACTGGTTATTCTATTCTTGCTTTATTTGGTAAACAATTCCTGCAAGAGCCTAAAGTATGAAATACCAAAATTAATTTCAGCAACTGAGCAAGGTAGAGTGTAAACAATTGCTACTGGGTCTGATTACAGGCTAGATCTAACAGGGTGTACAATGAAAAAAAGTTCATTTGCATCAGAAGTTAATTCTCAGATGGTCCAATGTCACTGACATGATAGCCAACTTCAGTTAGTAATGTCTGTGAAGCAGCGCCAAGGTCCTTGTTCTAGCCAGAAGAGCATTTCAAATTTTCTCTCGTCCTGATTGGCAAATTGACAATGGCTTTTTTGACAGGACAATCATGGCACATACTAAAATCCTGGTAAACAGGTGGGGACCCAGAACAAGTATTTTGGCGCTGTTTCACAGACAGACTTAACCAGAGTTTAGTTTCGTCTGTGGTGCAGGCTACTGACCTGACTGACCACTGCTTTCTTGGAGTGGTAGTAAGTAATGTTGGAAAGCAATGACTGTGTTAGTGTTCCGCTGAACTGAAAATGATGCAGTTGTCACTCTGGCACTTGACTGATTTAAATTTTTAGTTCACCATCTGTTCTCTACTTGTAGGAAGTGTTATAATAATTATACATATTTGTGATTTTTGTGTTAATATAATTATTTCTTCTAACCATCTTTGAAGTTCAAAAACACATTGTCCCTTTAGTACAGTCTCTTTGTGACACACAAAGCAGAAACATACGACATGACATTGTTTGACATGTCATTGTTTCAAGTGACTTCTTTAGAGATCCCTTCTATGGCAACTTGAGACAGTTGTTTTTTATACACTTTTATGTGAATGGCTGAGTTTGTTCGTACTTTGGAGTAACCTTCCTGGTCCTGCAAAACAGAAGAAATGAAAGGTCCAGTCAGTTCTTTGTATGAAAAACTTTGGTGGGATCAGTACTAGGTAAGATTTGCAAAAAGGCAAACGTGTCTGGTTTTGGCAAATCTTTGTTGATGTCACTGTTTACATTTCGCTTTATTTGGATACACATTGTGCTTACTGATAAATAAAAAGTTGACTTCAATGGTTCAAAGAGCTTGACAGTAAATTTTCTAGCCTATTTTGTACTAAGTACTGATGGAAATATCAGCCAACAGAAAAATGAGTTGCTAAATTTCTGTATGGCAGAAGTATTAATGAACCTGTGGGATCTTTGTTAAATTTTGAAACTTCTTAGTGAGAGGTAATATTGTGTTATGTACTTTCAAGAAGAAGTGGAATTATTAAAAACCCATTGGAGTTAAAAGAAATTCTTACATCATCTTCTGGCTCAAAGTCATCAATCAGTTTGACACTGGAAGTTGTTGCTGATACCTGCAAAGTAGGAGGTGTAATGTTAGAATACTTAATATATTTTTAAGGAGTAAAACTAGTATCTTTTGCATCTTGACGACAACCAGATAATGCACAGTCAACCACTCCACTACTGTTCTTTAACATGCACAATGTAAATATTTCAGTTTTACAAACACCACCCACTTTCAGGGGTACATTATTCCTTTAAGTCCTAATAGTGACTAACATCAATTTTCTCCTAACGATATCCATGCAAAGTCAAGAGATTAGGTTATGAGAATTAATAAAATGATCACCTAAGGGAAAATGCCTTGATCTTTTATCAAATTCTCTCAACCCATCCATGAAGGAAATGTGTGGAGATCAGTTTGGAGAATTGGTATGTGGATATTGGGGCTTAAAGGATTAACATACATTATTATTCATGCAAAATATTGCTCCATTTCTGATTGGCTGACATTCCAAAGCTAATTCTCCATAACCAGCTAGCGCTGGCCAACTTTGGAAGATGTTTGCAATATGTGGAAAATGAGGTCAATGGTACAGCATAAATGCCAGAAAAATGGACAGCAAATAGGAATCCCTGAGCATGAGCTTGCATTGTTTTGGTTGTACAGTACAAAAATGTGGCAGAACATTTCACATGTTTCATGAAGAAGACATAGCCAAACTACTGCCTAAATACATAGCAAGAACAGCAAGAATTACAACTCAACAGACAACATCTGCTATTTGGAGAATATTCTGCAGAACTTAACATCCCTTTATCTCCTGATCTTGCCATGGAGGGCGTTATTGGCCTTGGCTGATAAGGCCCTCCATGATGTCCATAATAATTAATTCTTCAGATCATACTCAGCCTCATCCAATAATATTGCTAAAAATACCTCAACAGTTCCTTGACCTCTGTGTTCCAGCTGCAGTGCCAGATTAATTGCACGGTTAATAGCAGCACCCAAGCCATGTATTGTAACCTCTTGCTCACTATTAAAAAATGAAAAAAAATATTACTAAATACCATATTAAGAAAGTGAGTAGTGAGAACAAATTTTGTTCTTACTTCCATGATGATGGTCACAAAAAACACTATGTAGCATTAAGGTGGCTCTCTATCTCTTAAAGCTGTAGGGATTTTTGGGTTTTGATTTTTGCCCCATTTGATCATCCCCATCAGTTGAAATCCAGAGTTCCCCCTGGGCTGCTGCCAGCCTCTTCAAAGCTTGGAATTTGATCTGATTTTGTAGCAAGCAGGAATGTTTTTTTAAAAGTAAAACTGGTTTAATTAAATTTCTCATTTAAAGTAAAGCTACAAAAATGCCACAATAATTATCACTATAATAATTATTTGCAGGTTTCCAAAACGGAGTTCAAGAAAAGACGTTTTTGGATGATGCACATCAACTGGAAGTGACATGTTTTCTGTGCTAATATGACTTGGTGCTATCAATTTGAATTGGTTAGTTTTTTCAACTTATAGGGGCAATTTGCCTGAAAATCTGCCCAAAAACAATGCCAAAGAATGCAAAAAGTCCACTTTCGGTTGAATTGCGTTGCTCAAAAACGTCTTTGCTTAAGCTGCCTATTATCCCCTGAATTGGATTGGGGAGGGGCGGGGAGGCGGGGGGGGGGGGTTGGTCCTATACAGGCTCATGCTCTTTGACAGGACATGATATCTTGGCAGTATTCTGATATTTCGGAAAAAATACAAAACAATTCTGGGNGCTCAAAACCGTCTTTGCGTAAGCTGCCTTGTTCCCCTGGGAGTGGGTGGGGGGGGGGGGGGGGGGGGGGGGGGGGGGGTTGGTCCTATACAGGCTCATGCTCTTTGACAGGACATGATATCTTGGCAGTATTCTGATATTTCGGAAAAAATACAAAACAATTCTGGGCGTAAATTTTTTCCTTTTCTCTTGACAGGATTGTAAAACAGAGTTTTAATTGTCGTCCTTCAGATTTACAGGGTAGGGAATTTTAGTTTCTTTTTTTTATTAATGGTCAGGGTTTCAGATCATCAGCGGCAGCGATACCCGCACATACCCACACTTATGTCGAGGACCCCAAGCGTAACCCTTACCCCTAGAGCTTAGAAATGACTCTAACCTACCCTTAAAACTGAAACAAACCTTGAATCGAGTGACTTCTGGCATCGCTCAAGTTGTGCTGCAAAGTCCGTCTTTCTGTTTACGTAGATGTCAGTTCGGCGCCTTTTCCCTTTTTGCGGGGCTCTCTTTTTAACTACATCTGTCCACGTAAATTGAAAATGATTAGCTGCACGATGAAAGAAAGAAAAAGTGATTTCATTTAAGAAAATAACTTACGGCCATTTGCATCCGCCATGTTGTTTCAGGTAACCTCTTCGTGTATCTCATAACGTTGTGTGTCTATAGAGAAAAACCGCTGTGAAAAACAGGCGCATGCTCGGGAGCCGTTCTCTTTGGACTTCCATCTTGGCTTGACTGGAAGGTTGTTAATGATCATGACAGTAATCCTGCTTCATCTTTGTCATCCTTGCAAAATTTCTTCATTTTTCCAATAAATATGAAAGCTTTAGGAAAATTTAGTCACCTAATGTCTAAAAATGGTACTGATTGTTGTTATTTAGGTAACTCACTCACAAATTGTCTCTCATACTTTTAGGTGTCTGTCCATCACTATCACGTTTTTTTTTCACAATGGTTAGTTGTACTTTTTTGATATTTTTTTGGTGTTAAAGTGACTTTTTCACGTTCTTAAAATTAGGATACTAATAAAGGCTACGAGAATATGAACTTGTACTAGTTATACGTTTGTTTGTTTCAATTTTAACTCTAGAACTTTTTTTGCAGCCAAAACAGATCCACGAAATCAAAGATTTTCTCCTAACCGCCAGACGGAAGGATGCCAAATGTAAGTAAACTTGTTTTCTTTCAGAATACACTCCTGCAATCGATGTCAGAATTTATTATGCAAATCGAACGACTGCAGGACTGCGGGAGCAGTTTTTTAAGTTAGCTAGATATTACCTACTGGCCCGGGTATTCTGCAATCTATCTTTGACCTCTGAATAGTGGTAAATAGCGAGGTTTGTCATATTTTACTTTTTGTGGAGAACTTGCAAAATAAATTACCACATCAAAACTGCATTTCTGAAAGAGATTTATACATGACTTGATAGTCCTGTGTTTCCTGCATCTTTGTTATGTTGTAAAAATGACAAATTGAATTGTGTAGTTCCAGAAAATATCCAGACCCCCACCATGGAGGGAATTGGAAATTCCAGTGGGGTGGGGGGGGTCAGAGGCCCAGGAAATTCCCGAAGGGAGGGGGGTTGGACCATAAAATCACTCTACAGGGGGCCAATATCATTTCGTTTTCGACCTGAGTTCGAACATTGCTTCTTACCGACCTGGTAGATCATTTTTAGGACATAAATAACTTGAAATATATGACTTAAGATTGTTCCTTTTGATCTTAACCAGGTTTCCTTTCTTCCAAAAGCGTTTTGGATGTAATTTCAAAGGAATTAGACCGACTACAACTTGTTTTATCGCATGCTCGTATATTTGGCCGCCATTACTCGTTACCAGTCTCCTCAAAACATCAATGCGTGCAACACATCACGCAACACATCACGTTGCGTCAGTCGATTGATAGATCAGAAGAGTGGCAATTTTGCTTCACAAAGCACAAGCTATGCATTGTAACCATTTTAGAATGTTGAGTTTTTATTCTTCTTTTCATTTTCCCTTAATTTTGTGGTTGAACGTGTCGCATGTTCATGATCAAATTCTCGCTGAAATGGTGTTGATTTCACCAAACATTTATACGGCCATCGCGCATCACGTCGCATCAGTCGATCAAAGAGCAGTAAATTGAACTTGGTTTCCCTTCAAGTACCTTCAAGATGCAGGGGGTATTCATTGTTATCATTTCAGAATTCAGAGTTTTTATTCTCCTCTTTGTTTTGCATTAATTTTGTGGTCGTAAGTTTGACTTGTTCTGCATTCCCTCACGAAATGGCGTTAATTCTATCAACATTACGCCCATGAGACGAGTGTGTTTTAATGTTGCAAGATCACTCAAATAAATGGAAACAGAAGCATACAAGCTTCTGATGGAAACCGTTGGGTACTAACCATAAGTTGCCTCATTCTTCTACTTTAATAGTCTTTCTTCGTGAAAATGAACTTTTCCAGAGGGGTTGGGGGGTCTTTGTCACACTTGTGGAAATTCAGAAGGGGTGGGTGGTCATCAGTTCCCTGCAAAAATGGAAAATCCAGGGAGGTGGGGGGGTCCTAAGTGAAATTCCCTCCGTGGTGGGGGTCTGGATATTTTCTGGAACTACACATTCTGCCATGATGTTCGAAGTGCTTAAAGTCAAACCTCCTGCAAGCAACAACCCGAAATACACAGATTTAATTGTTGCCTACAGGAGGTACGGTACCGCTCAAAAGTAAGTTGACAGTCTCGACTCAATCCTCGAGACTCAATCCTCGCGTCTTTAAGCTTGAACACTTCGAGTTTTGTGATGTGAGGATCGAGTCTCGAGTTTCGAGAAGCCAGGCTTCTATGCGGAATTAATTTTGTTTTTATGTTGTTCAGTCACCTAGCCATTCAGAAATTCGCACAGATGATCAGTGCTTGCGGTGCGGTGTTCTTTAACTGGTTGAATTGCCAGCTTCGGCAAACTTTCAATAAGCGTAAATCAACATTTTCAGATTCGAAGATTTATTCTGCATATACAGTGTATCACTCTTGAGTCTTGAGGATGGAGACGCGAGTGACTGTCAACTTACTTTTGAGCAGTACTGCATTTGCATATGAGAATCAAACCACAGAGGTGAAACCGTGTAGGTGTCCCAACACACATCTGCTTTTTGGAAGTGTATTTATTATATGCAGTTTCTGAGTTATAATATACTGTATTTACTTAAATAAGTGTCGCCTTCGAATAAGTGCTCCATTTGAGATGTGAAAAATTTAATAAGTGCCACAGTGCTTATTTGAGGAAACAGGGTATGTAGATGTTGCATATTAAAAGTTCTTTGTATGATCTGAGTAATGTTACCAGCACATAGAGCAGTTTAGAGATCTTCCGTTCATCAAATCAAGTGGTTAGGAAAAAAAATGGAATATATTTTTACAAAATGGAAAAAATGGAATATATTTTTACAAAACTGTCGTCCCCCAAAATGTTTTTTGTTACAAGAGGTTCCAACCATAAGGCTGTGGGGAAATTTTGGCATTTTACCAACCCTCCAAGTTAAAGTTTTTGCTCGGTTGCCATTTAGCAACCAACTCTTTTGGTTGAGGGAGACATTTTACAAATCAGTTGCCCAGCTCCAAAATTTGAGGTGCCATGGCAGCCAAAATGGTCGCAACTTGGACGGTTGTTTACAAAGGTGGTTGCTTATCATTAGAAATGGGTAGACCACCTTGGGTAGTTATACATGGTGTTAAGTTTTTGGTGAATGTGTGATCATTATGTTACCTTGTGCAAGGCCTGAATTGTTTTCCATTGTGTTTTGGCCCTAGACTTTTATGTTTCAACCACTCCTTATTAAACCCGCTTTTAAGAGGGCTTTTATTTTGTACATAGCTGTGAAAATAAAGAAGATAAAAGATACTGTTAAGTTCAAGGTGCGATGCAGTCGTTATCTTTACACTTTGGTCATTCAAGACAAAGAGAAAGCTGACAAACTCAAGCAGTCTCTGCCTCCAGGTTTGTTTGAATCTGTTTCATTATTCTTCAGTTATCAAAAGCAGTGCATCAGGGCTTGAAGAAGCGTGAGTTCCAGCTGGTCTTTTAGACGAGCTATTCTTTCATGTTGCTTACCCTGGGTCATTGAATGCATCTGGTTGTTAATGATTTACAGATAGTTAAAAGATGACTTGCCTGGCCTTTGCCCATTGGGCATAAAGCAGTGATGAAATGTTACAAAGTTACTTGTCTGACATGAAAATTTAGTTGTCCCAGACCTCCAGACTTTTTTAGGGCCCTGATCATGCATTTGTTACTGTGCATTCTTGGAAGAATTAATGTTTGCCCAACTTTTTTCTCAATTTTAATAGCACTTGCAACGATCCACTCTTCCTACATAGTCATGAAGTTCCCAACATACCTTAATGTTGTGAGGCACTGTACTCTCTGTAATAAGTATATTAATTTTAAGCATTTTGTAAGAGAAATTCAGGTGAATAACTTTGGCTAATGTCTTGTCATGTGAGGGTCATTCTAAGGCTTCATTCACAGGGGACCTGAATCATGAATTTTCAACTGGTTGAAAAATTTGACTGAACACTTCATTCAAACAGGGCCATTCAATATTTTCACTCTGTTCGCACAGAACTTTGAACAACTCATCACCCAAATTTTTTTATGGTCAAGGTAGTTCATTGTGAACAGATCACCAGTAAACGCAAAAATTTTGAGCCAGTCAAAAGTGCATCCCGTGCCATGTGAATGTAGCCTGAGAAGTACTTGCACCATTCACTAGAAGAGAAATTTTGCTTCCTTGAAGTTCAAAAATAGTTACTGAGCTGCTAGGTCTCCTCTCACCTTATCTAACAAGCATACATAATGCCTTGCTGATCTTTATTATTTGCTTTTCATGAGTAACACGTGTCCCCTTCTATTTTTGAGAGAAAAAGTGGGTTTCTAAATATTGTGTGAGAAACTGACTGATTCTTAACGAGTTATCTCAGCAGACCTTTGTTGTTGCTTTGTGTCTTTATTTTTATTACGTAGTCTAAATGTCAAGTAGGTGGCAAATATTCCCCTGAAATGTGGCAAAATTGCTGATTGTCAGCTCACTTTGACTGGGATTAGTTGTTGAAATTATTTTCAGGGAAAGTTGAAACGTCTTCGCCAAAGTAACAACTATTCTTAGTTTGCTTCTTCACAATCTTGATTTCTTTAAAGCTTTAATTTGCTTGCCTTGTATGTTTTCTTTTTTGCCATTGTGTCATTAATTTTCTGTACTTTCCTTTATTGATAGGTTTGGCCGTTAAGGAGTTGAAGTAAACTGTTACAAATGAAGTAAAATAAAATGTATATAAAGCAAATTTTGAATGATGGTGGTATTTACTTTTCCATCCTTGAAGCCCTACCAGACTTTCATGTCACACCGAGCCTTTTTGTTGTGCCATGGGTGATTTATTTGCAGCATGAATAATTTTGTGTAAAGCGGTTCCTTTTGCGTGATGGAAATTATTTTTAATTGCCTTAAGGCCTAAAAACCAAGGGGCAAAAACAGATTTCCTCAGCCAACACAAAAATAATGTAATCACATGCTCTCTTTAGAGATTTATTTTTTCCAAATTTTTTCAAAAACACCTTACATACACTTACAACCCCATGGAACATCACTGGAAATTAAGGGGAAGGATCTTTGATTAAAAACCTGTCAGGAAAAAGTGGTACAAAATTAAACTGAAATTACCTGTTGAAATGGGCTTAGCCTACAAACAAGCTCTCCATTTCTGGCAAGCAAAGCAAGCCACAAGAGAGCACACAAGAAAGAATGTGTCCCCTGCTTGTCTCCTTTTACCGGCTGCTCACCCTTGACTTCTCATGACTCCCAGTCCTTGAGAAGAAGAGCTTGCACACAGGCTAAAATGGGCTCAACAGAGCTAACGTCTATTGGATTTTCTGCAGCAGCAAAATTAGACAAAAGTCGGTGAAAGTTCCACTTTATGAATAAATGCGAAGTAGAATGTAAAATTATTAACAAAAAAGTTCAAGATATGAAAATACTAATTTCCAGTCACCCAAAGAGGAGACGGCCTCCCTTTAATATAACAAGAGACCAGCACAACATGTAATGATACTAATCATACAGTTAGTAGTATTACATCCTGCAATGCTTCAAAATGTAAACCATTTTGGTGAATAGTTCATAAAAAAACATGAAAGCACTGTTCGAGTGAAAACAGATTGGTGGTGAAATAGAGAAAATCGAGGTTGATAGTATGTTTTAAAGGTATGCACATAGCCTTACTCTCCACAAATCTATGCCTGCTTATCTCCTCTTTTGTGAGAGGAATGTAAATTCGCGTATTTTACACGTTTTACACATGCTTTTTTCAAACTCATTGTTTTAATAATATTATCATTATTAAAATAATTACCATAAATGATCTAATAAATGCTCACTCTCAAGTAAATCCCTCTTGTGTAAATAACATCCCCTCTACAATGTTAAGTTTGTATTGGATGCCCCTTTCTAATGAATAGACCCCCCTCCAAGACAATTGCTCCAAAATACTAGGAAATAGCAAAAGGGAGCAAAATCATTCAATTTTTTAATTTTCTTGCTTGAGTAACAAGGGTTTGCATATTGTATCTTGTTCAATGTCAAGTTCAAAGTAAGGATAGACTAATGATGGCAACAATGGCTGTGAGCAAGAATTCTGACATTGATGTTGAGATTTGGCGTATCAATTGTTTGAGTGGATGTTCCACTATTTTTAAACTTTTGATTTTTTTCTGAAAGCATTTTAGTTTTGTTGAGCTTGTTATTGTTATGAGAATAAACACCTCCCATCTATTAAATGCCCCTGCTTGCACCCCTAAAATTTAAAAAACATCCCAGAGGTCTATTAGATCATTTACAGCATTTATAACAAACAATAACTTTCAATTTCTTCAACAATAAATGATTGATTGGGAAGCTATATCAAACACTCCAGTCAGCACAGTGTTCCATCCAATATCCAGACACTTGGAAGTAGGTCCAAAAATAAAATGCTTGCAGTCCGCCTTTTCTCCTTGGGCCTGTTTACATGTAGGTGGAGGACCCCAGATAGGTGAGGTAGCCCACTTAGGTTGGGTAACCCACCTGTCCATATAATCATTCATTTTAATTTTATCATGTTTACATGATAGGTGGGCTGACCACATGAGAGATTACATGGACAGGTGGATTACCTCACCTTCCTGGGGTCCTCCACCTCCATGTAAACGAGCCCTTAGAATCTGTCAAGTTCTCATCCAAGCTAAAGTGTCTTCGAACAATGACATTAATAAGAAGGGATTGAGATGAGACAGAGAAAACAGGGCCCGGTTGTTCAAAGCTGAGTTGAGATAACCCAAGGTTAGTGCAAAATCTGAATCCAAATATGAAAGCTTACATGTAAATAGTGAAAACAGATCATCTGGCCTTGAAACTGGGCAGCAAAAAATAAATGCCATAGCAGATGATGAATTACACAACTTGATATTAAACTGAAGTAGAGAATCGATAATATTAGTCTAAAAATGACGTCAGTGCTATCATCTGAGTTGTGATGCCATTTTCTTACCAAGTCACGAAATTTTAATACAGGTCACGGAGGCCGGAACCATATTCAATACAGATATTTATTCGCGGGAGAAAAAATTGAACAAAAAAGAAAATGAACATGAGAAAAAATAATTTGTTCCTTCGCTATTGCTTGAAGCAAATGAATGCCACGGGATAATGGCTAACGTCCGCTGGATAATCTCTCTGACGATCCAGTACAATGTCCGCCATCTTGGCTGTGTATAAAAGTGGGACGGGGACATCGGGATGCGTGTGTAGGGACTTGAGGACATCAAGTATGGGACGCGGGGACGTGGGATGTGAATAATTATTGCAAAAGTCGGAGGTAAATGCGATATCAGTCACTTTCCTCGTGAATATGTCTTGGTGAAGGCAACCCAACCTGTCCTCCTTCGGGTTCCTCTATGCCTGTTTATGAAGCGAAGACTCGACGAAGACCCCTTGCATTAAAGAAAGTGAAACCGTTGTCCTCGTCTTCTTGCTGATGGAATATTGGAGCCCGAAGCAGGGTAGGGTGGGTTGCGGTCGCCAAAATGTTAGTAGATAAGAGCATTCGATTCTGATTCGATTCCAAATAAAAAAAAAATTAAGTGGAATAAGCGAGCTTCAAACCCCGAAGTGCTAGCCCCGAAATCCATCGCCTGTACCACTAATCCACGGGGGATTCAACTATTGTACCAATATTTATTTTGTTCTACATATTTTTAGTGGCAAACCTAACAGTAAATGCTTACCAACAGTACTTAAAGGTTGATTTCCACTGACGCGTCTTTGGCTATGCACGTTAACGGAAGTAAATTTTAATCACGTAAATAAAATAGAGGCAAGATATAAATTGTTGTGATTAAACGTGAAGTTGAGCGAGATTCTACTTTTGCGCTTACGTGCGACCTTTCAGACATTGCCTCTATTTTATTTGCGAACGTAAATTTTACGCACGTAGGCATGGAAAAATTACGCGACAGTGGAAATCAACCCTAACCCTAATCACAATAGTCAGTGCACTTACTCCTATTATAAAGAAATGTTTGTGTAAAAATGATAAGGTGTCCAGTGTAGTGTTAGAAGATGGAATCTAATGTTGACCATAAATAACACATTTTCACGAAGAAAGAGATAACGCATTTACCTCCGACTTCTGCAATAATCATTCACATCCCGTCATGAGCTCTCAAGGGGTCAGGGGAGGAATTCATTTCTACTTACCCCTACCCGGAAAGTCCGTACGGTCGTACGGACGGACGGACGCACGGTGACGTCATAAACAAATTTTCTCGGATGGACAGTTTACCAAATTTCATCACGTATGGTGCTCCGCTGCGCGCTTTGCGCGCGGAGGCTCCACTAAACTGCTTACATTAAAAGCGTACAGTGTGCCGATAATTTTTATTAAGTTATACAGTTTTATGCTCCATTGTAATTTTAAATAGCTTTAAATGCTCGTTAATAATGGATTAAAATCTTTCCTTCGGCATT